TTCTAAGGTAACAAAACACAACTATTCTTATTTCCATTTCTGCCAATAGATCCTCCTAAATGTTACACACTAAACCTTTAAAACAGCTAAACATGAATGAGAGGATGGGTCTATGTACTGGGCACTGACATATTGGTGTGAGAGTGTGTGTACGAGTATATATGAATACAATATGTAAGCATAAATGTATGTAAGAATTGAATTTAATCAAAAGTCATTCAGTGTTCACATCTTAAGCAGCTATTGGTTTGGTGTTTTGTGTTCAATGCATGTACATGTGCGTCTATAACCCTTTTTTTGCTACTGCAAGTGTAAAATGTATAATTACTGCTGCAGCAGGGAAAGCACAGGCCTCTTACACAAACACGTTGTCACTAAAAAGAAGTCCTATGGGGCAAGAAACACAAGTAGTCAGATTATTACCAACATTTGGGGTGTTATGACTTAGAGCTTCACAATTTTTGGTAAAGATTTGTTTTATTGACAGATGCTCACTTTACAGTGTAATGTCAATATTCAGAATAAACTTATTAAAAATAAGAATCAGTTTACTATACCTCAACTTAAATATCGAAATCATAATATGGCCAAGTGCAATATCCAAATCACAGAAGATTTTTGATAAATGGTCAAAATTGTGACAAAACCGCATTATAATGAAGCACTGTAGTGCTGCAGGCCAGGGCACCCGAATAAAACATGTTGGTTTGGTACATACATACATTTTCAGTGAAAATAAAAGTTGTGATGCAAAAATGATCACATTGCAATCGTAATATCCATCACAGTATGGTTTTTTTTTTTTTACCATATCATGCAGCAGGTTTTATCTCCAGCTAAAGTGGTTTAGATAATCTAACCACTGTTTACAACCTGTGTGATTGCCTGAAGGCTCATATTTCTTTGCCTCACTGGACGTCTTTGTTGTAGCAATGTTGTTGTGCTCCCAGATTCCAAAAATGACCATAACCAACCAGAATGGTCCTTTAAAAGTCTGAGGTGCTGAAATGAACAGTCTACAGTGCACAAACAAAGGCATCATTTAGGAAATGTGATCCAGTTTTGGCGGCATCACAAGATACCGGGCACATTTAGGCAGAAAGGTTTGGTTTAGATGACGCAAAAGAAAAAAACTCACCAAGTCACCTGATTCTGAATATATTGCCTAAGAGGGACAAAAAGACAGATTTAGAAATGATTAATCAGATTTGTCTAGAAAACAAACACACATGTGACCAGCTTGTGAGGTCAAAATAAAGTAAACAAGGGATGGAGATGTACTTACTGAGTTTGGGATGTAGCCAATAGCGTGCACCCTGACTTTGCCACAAATAGAAAATGTGTCGACCCTGTTTAATGGGATTTTGTGCTTGTATTCCAGCAGGTGAGCACCATTTACTGCCACCTATGGGTACAGACAAGTGTTTTCTTTTTTTATTAATCAAACTGCTATGCACATTTATTGACTCTAGGTACTGCACAGGTTTATCGATGCCTCCATCCTTAACAGCACGGGTTCACTGACCTTGAAGACGTCTTCGTGCACCAGGATGATGGTCTCAAAGGGGGCGCCGCGTTTGTACGGCAGCTGATGGAGTGTTTCCTCTTGGCCCCAGCTCTCCTGCAGCAGGGAGTTACACACCACACAGGGCGAGCCTTTGAAGCGAGGGCTGAAGTGGAGGGCGATGTCAGAGCGCGGCTTGGTGCTGCAGCCACTAGACAGGTCGATCTGAAACCTGCAGAGGGGGGTGCACACCGGGGCTGGATTACCAACCGGGCAGCTCCATTTGAGGTGAGTTCAAGTACCATATCAACAAAAGCAAGTCCGTGAATGGAGGCGAAAGAAATGAAATCCTGACTTAAGGAGCTTTAAAGTTCCACGAAACATTAGACAAAACTACTGTTACTTTTCATTTCAGTTTACGCCAACAATAGTGCATATTCTTAAATTAGGTTGTGTTTAATCAATCAGACAAAACAGGGATTATATACAAATTAAGCTATTGGGAGTGTGAACAGGGGGCCCTCTTACCAAGTGGTTCCCAACCTGGGGGTTGCCAAAGCTTCATGGGGGGGTTGCAAGGCCTTCTTGATTTTAAGGCGTGTTAAGAAAACTTTAAAAATATACACAGTAGGCCTATATCTCAGCATTTGGTGAGTGTCTGTCTAATAGAACAATGGCCAAACGTCAGGAACAGAAAACACTGAATATGTCAAAGAAGAAGCTTATTTAGTCTGTATGATTATTCAAAAATACATAATACAGACAGAGAGTTCATCAAAATCACTAATTTTATACAAACTTCTTTGCTGTTACAGAGTTCACTATTTGGGTTCATTGT